CCCCAAAACCCCAAAACCCCAAAACCCCAAAACCCCTTGAACCCCATAGATTTTTGAAAGAAATTTTAAGCCAATTTTTTAGGATGGGAACTATGGCTTTCCTTGTAATTTAGTCAATGCTTTCTTATTCCTTTGGTAATAACTCTTGAACCATTGGTACCTGATAAGGCTGATGTACACCATGTGTTTATAGTGACCGTAAGTGGACCTGTATTGACCAAGATGGGATAACACACTAGAGACGTGGTCTTTGGGGTAGATTATGCATGGCCCTAGAGGTTAGAAAGATAATACCTAATACTTTGATCATATTTGAGACTGTAGGTCCTGGCTGAACGCAGAGGACATCAATGTTCTTATCATTAACTTCTTTATCTAAGACATCGGATAAGTTCTTGTTATAGACTTTAGTTGCAGAGTAAACTCCCATACTTGGAGCTTTAGTGTCTGTAGCAACAGAGCTAAGATTTAATATAGCTCATCTCTTATCAGAGTTTGCTCTCTGAATCATTTTAGGGAGTAAAGTTCTTGTGAAAAATAACTGTGGGATACAATTCACTTGAATCATAGTATTTGCTTGAATCAAGTCCATGGAGTCAAACTTACCTGGGCTCATTGCTCCAACATTGTTGACAAGAACAGAAACATCATCAAGATTTTCAAGTTCAGATTTAAGTCCAGAGTAAGCTTCTTCTGTATATGGTTGGTCAAAATCAAACTGAATATTATGCACCTTAATCTTTGAGTTGGCCTCTAAGATCTCATTTTTTGTGTTTTCTAACTTTTCATCATTTCTTGCAACTTGGACTAGAATCATGTGAGAAGATATTATCAAAGATATTTTGTAAAAATTGGATATTTCAAGATTACCAATGTTAAATCCTCTTTTAGCAAATTGCATTGCATATTCTTTCCCTAGCCCACTTGTAGACCCTGTGATCAACGCAGATCCTCCCTTATATCGTTGATATAGGTTTAGTTCCTTTGCAAAGAGATACTGGTTTACTATCTTGAAAGTCTCGATTGATTTCTTGGATAAAAAATACAGCCCTAGTGCTGAAAGGCAGATTATGCCTAATGGAAATCTAGAGTAATCAATATCCCTAACTGCTTACTTCTTCTGAGTTTTAGACATCCTGTTTCCTCCTAAAATACGTGAGTTGGCTTAGTCAGACATAATTGAACTTACTTTAGATTATTTGGATAATTTAATGAATAAAATGGGGTTTTGGGGTTTTGGGGTTTTGGGGTTTTGGGG